TGAGTGATTGTCATTGTTAGTTCTAGGTACTCTTTAGTCTATCTAAAATAGTTTTAAATAAATACTAATATGTATTTTTTAGCATTGCGTTAGTTGATGATTTTATTCTACCATAGGTCTCTAGAAATCTCCTAATTTTTGAATAGCGAAAGCGATCTCCTAACTGACAGGTCTTTGAGCAGGAGATTAGCTATCCATTTTTTTAATCAAATAAAATCGTACATTCTACATCTACACCAAGTACATATTTTAATTATTATGTTAAAATAAAGTTTAATATTATCACAAAAGGATCATTATATACGTAGTTGTTACAATAACGTTAGCCTAATTTTTAATTTCGTAACAAAAATTTAACGCCGTTGCGTCTTTAACTACATAGTTGGTTACATTTTAACTATTAACAGAGCTGTTGTTTTATAACTAGTAACGCCATCTCTTGAGCTCTCAAATTACATGATGATATCTTTGATCAAGAAGTACAATAACGCCATCTAGTGACAATAATAACTAGTAAATAATACATAGTTTGAGGGTTGTATACTGGGATTGAACCCCTAAAATAGAATTGCTAATCAATATCTATTTTCTCCTTTTTAAAAAAAAAATGGTTTTAATGGGGGGGGGGGGTAAATATTTTAAGGGTCCCCCCTTTTGATTTGGAAAGGCAATTTTCTTTTTCGTCGTTCGTTGATCAAAATATATTAACGAGACACATATAAACTAAAAAATACTTACGAGTTATAGAATTATAGTATGCCTTAATTATACTTAGAAGAGGTTTAATTGTACTTTCTATAGTTCACTATAGAAGTAAACGTATATTCTATGAGACACCGTATATTAGCTAGCAAAGATATATAATATGTTTGTATTTGTGTATGTTTTATTTAAAGTCAAGTACTTATTATGAAAGAAGACTATACCCCAGTAAGTCAAAAGGTGAAAAAAATATGAGCGCGTTATGACAAATTTCAAGCATATTTTATAACTAGCTGTGCCAGCGACTTCATCCTCTAAGTATATTTATTTTTGGCATCCAAATTCGTTCTTGCATCTTTATACAGTTAAGCTGTTAGCCACGACGTCGATTGCGTCCCTTCCCGTTGTTCTTGTAAGTTAATGTTAAAAGATAGATATATAGTGTCTCGGTTTCTTTAGTCTTCAAAGAGGAATCATTCTTTAATACACATTTTTAGGTATTTTGTAGTGTTTTTGCAGCGTACGTCTCGGTAACCCATAATGATTTACATTTTCCTCTGTATCTTCGCTTGCTTTACAGGACGATGTTTTATAACCTATTAGCTGTGCCCGCGACTTCGTTCGTGTGGAATAGTGACTTGGGGTAGAATTTTTAATTATTTAAGCTTATTAATTTATATAATTGCGCATTTATCGCAGCCAATCTATGTTGCAAGTGCTATATTGCCGCAACGCTCTCACCTCACATCACTCCTACTCTAACTCTCACTCTCACTCCCACTCCTAATCTCAAAAAGCCGAAGATGACATTTTTATTGTTCTAGCTTAAAAAAAACACGAATTTCCATACAAACATTCACCCCCCCTCTTTTTCCCCCTAACAACCCCTTTTTTGCAATAAGAAGCCTATGTTCTTTCTTAGGGTCTAGACAATATGTGTACCAAATTTCATTCAAATCCGTTCTGTAGTTTTGGCGTGAAAAAGTAAAAGACAGACGGAGACAGAGTTACTTTCGCATTTGTAATATTAGTAATGATAGCCTTTCTCAATAAATGCTCTAACCGACACAAATAATTTTTCTATTCGAACTCGTAGTTCTTGAGATTAATGCGTTATAACAAAAAATAAATGGAAAAAGAACTTTTTAAGTTAAACGGTTTTATGTTAAACATACCTACATTGCAATGTTTAAGATAAATGTACTAAAAACCAAAAAATAAAGAAATAGATACAGTCGTGGGAATTATAAACATATACACAGACTAGACTGAAATAAAACCGTGGGGCACGTCAATTGTCTATCAATTATCGAATTAATGTGCGATAGAAGAATCGTTTAATTCGTCATTAGGCAGACGAGCCCCACGGTTTTATTTCAGTCTAGTCTTGGATTTATAATGATAATGAATAAACATAATTGTATTGTCACCAAAATCCAAAGTGTATACAAAATTTCAGATTAATCGATTGACATGAAGAGGGTGAAATTTGAATTACTAAATTTGACCCAAGAATATATAAAACAGACGGGGTGAGCTAAATAAAACCGTTTAAAACAAGCAAACTCTTCAGCTTTATATATTAGTATAGATATGGATAATGAAACTCTTAATTGCACAATCATATTTACACAGAGGTAAACATAGTCACTTAAAATATTATATACAATAAAAATGCTATGTAAAAGCTAAGACTACCTTATCGCCTATAACGAGTTCTTCCAGGCAACCGTTTAAGTGCATTGTATATTTGTTATGTAATTGTCACGGATGAAACTAGAGCGAGTAACAGTTTTATTTCTATTCGCGGCTATATTTCATCTAAAACTGTCCCAACTGTATTTTTACGGGACAAAAGGGATGATATATTGTAATGGCCGAATCGCGTTTGAAGACACTGTAAATCTGTTTAGTGGTACATGACAGGGATTTTGAGGTTCTCCTTTTCGTGTGACATTTCCCCCCCCCCCCCCCAAATTAATCTTTGACAAGAATACAAAGAAAAACTGATATAAGTGGCCAATTTCAATTTGTCGAGTAGTGCACATTTAAATAAAACACATTAACGGTTTAAAACGCGATATACATTAGTTAAACTTATTGGAAAAGCAGTCGTGTTTGCTGCTGCAAAAATAATTTTCAAATAAGTTTAACCAATATATTATGTCGCTTTTTTAACTGTCAAAGTGTTTTATTTTGATAAACCAATGTTCTTGGCTGTTTTTGTAAGTCACAATACGGAGACGGCTGCTACTAAATACGACGTCTCTCAAGTTAAAATAATTTCCAAATAAGTTTATGTAACTAATATATATCGCGTTTTAAACACTTAAAGTGTTGTATTTAAACAAATCACTTTTCTTGGCTATTGTCATAAACACAACGAGTCACAGTAAAAAATCGCGCTTGTGAAAAATGAAATTTTGCCCTACATTGGCATGAAAAGAGACACTGTAGTGTGTCTCTTTCTCTGGACATTTTCAGTTCTGAAGCAGTTCATTGTTTTCCTAGGATTCGAATCTGGATCATAAGTTAAATGTGCTTGAACATCGCGTCGTGGGGGCGATAAGAAATAATTGTTAGTTATTTTGCTCTGTCTAAATATTCTAATATAAAAAGTAAAGTTCCATAATTTAAACTAATAAAGGAGCTTTCATTATTTAAGTTTTGATATACTTTTCAGAGACAGAGGAGACAAACTTATGAATCACGTGGTTATAGATATTACCTGGCCATACTTTGTTATGTGTAACAAAGTTTATTGTTTACGTATTTCTGCTTTGAACATATACAAAAACTCTAACGCGGTTTTACGCTTTACGATATTATTATTTTCATTTTATGCCCAGATTTTTCAGATGAATCTGGCATTATAGAAAACTAAAATGCTTTGTACAAACATGATGGACCCGATTCGACTGAATTATTAACAAAACATCTAATTATGTGAGGCTGCTAGAGATTTATATTTTCAAAGTCTAAAAATGTTAATATAACATAATTCTTACAAAAATAATAGTACAAATTCATTTTTACCTAAGTTAAAAGCGCATTTTTATTTTCCTGCGTATGAAATCATGTTCTTTGTTATTAGGCCACTCTGTCTCGAGCAGCCTCATGTATGAAGGTTACACAAGTTTTGTGAAGGAAACACAGTTTTTATGAAATTTAAGTTATTTATTTTTAAATCACTTACTTTAATGTTAAAGCTCGATTTTACTAAGTACATTGATTTTTTTTTTTTTATAATAGTCCTTATAACTCGCATATATAATCTGAATTATTGTTTCATTGTGTGATGTTTGTATTTCCTTTTCTGCGTTAAGTTGAAAATTTTACAAATTATAATAAACTTATGAAAATTTAAATAACAATTATGGTAATAAATAGATATTGTAATGACTATCTCTTAACGCCGATTTATAGCCAGTATTAAAGACCTTTCATTTCTAGATAGACTTTCATAAATAATCACAGCTAACCTCTTATTGAAATGACAACATACAAATAATTGTTGCCAAACGATTCGTAGTGGAACTAAAACTAAAGGAAACACTTTGTAACACAGTAACATTTAAAGGAACGTATATAACTAACTTTTAAATAAATAGCGAATTAATTGTTACCTAATATCTAACGGTCACCGGATGAAATATAAAATGGTCCTAAATATAACTACTCTGTTGATGGATGTTCTGAAAATGTCTTTAGACTAACATTTGTAAAACAAAAGAAAATCGACATAGTACACACTGAATCGTGCTCATCTACTAAGTATATAAATAAAAATGGCTATCTTTATTTATATACTTAGTTTATTATATAATTATACTATGTAGAGTGTATCGATCTCTTTTTTTTAATATCACACCGTTTCGACACTTACAAGTATATCGAAACGTGAACGAAAATCGCACGCCCTAAAAATGTTAAACTCATACCGAAATTACAATACTGAAATAAATACTGATCTAATCTATGGTTTATTCTTGTAAAAAATTCTAATTTACATCTAAGTTTTACGTATTATTTTGTTTGTAAAAAAGTAATCTTTAACATGAGGCCGCTAGAGGCAGAGTGGCCTTACTGAAATTTTTGTGACTTGAGTTATTTATACTTCATAGTTTAAAAATTTTAATCTACAAGAGCACAGTAACCGAAAATTATTAAAATATTTTTTACAGAAATAATAGGGCAAATTCATTTTCGCTTAAGTTAATTACGCATTTTAGTTACTTCTTATTGAAAATCACGTTTTTCTGTTATTAGGCCACTCTGACGCTAGAGCCGACCTGTGCTCAATGCCAAGTAAACAAAACATGACAGATCACCAAATAAATAGATGCGATGATCAGATTGCCAATCATAATGGGAAAGCCGATCTTCAAGAACTGCATGAAGGTGAATCTGTAGCCGTGTTGTTCTGCCACTCCTGCGCATACTACGTTTGCGCTTGCGCCGATAAGTGTACCATTTCCTGTTACAGGTAAATTTGTATTAAAATATGAAATAGGTGGACAGACAAGCATCGGGGTCACTTGTTGGTAGGTTAAGTATCTACCCTAACCACATTTTATCTTAATAAGATCTATTTTGACTTTAGACATTCGGAAATCTACAGAAATAATCTACTGAAATCGAAACGCGATCAAACTTCACTGCTTCCTCATCTGCGGATGGTAAGATATTCAGATTTCCCGACGTCACATATGTTTCAGAAAAAATATAAATTGATTAAAAACATATTGGATCAACACTTTCTAGAATCAAATACTGTCTATATGTTTACGCGAGTAGTACACATTTAAATAATAACACTTTAATGGTTTAAAACGCGATATATTAGTTAAACTTATTTGAAAATGATTTTTAACTTCGGCCCGACGTTTCGGATGCTTTGCAGCAGCCGTGGTCACGGGGAGACCATCATTTTCAAATAAGTTTAACTAATATATCGCGTTTTAAACCGTTAAAGTGTTTTATTTAAACTTTCTAGAATCGTTTTCGCAGCGCACGCGACGTATTTATTTATTACACTAGCAGGCTAAGCTGATGCGTGAAAATTATTATTTCTCGGAGATGGAGTCTAAAAGTTTTCTGAATGTATTTAGTGAAGGAGCCGTGACAATTTCCTCACGGAGTTTGATTCTGTATTTGGAAAGAAATGTATGTTTTCAAAGATGAAGAATTTTCCGCGTTTTTTACCACATTTCCCTCAGTTTCTTGGCTTCTATTGGTCGCAGCCTGATGTTTATAGCCTTCCTCGATAAAGGGTCCAACCAACACAACATTTTCCAATTCGAACCACTAGGTTCCTGAGTTTAGCGCGTTCAAACAAACTCTTCAGCTTTATATATTAGTATAGATTACTTACCACCAAGACATGCCCCGAAGCTCAGGGCCCATGCTAAAGGCGGCAACGGTAAGCCAAGCCCAGATGGATCAGACAAGGCAGCTGTGACACGCACCATCATAGTACTCAGCGGTATGTTGTCAACGAAGGCAGATGCCAAACCCGATACCTGTACCACCAATCATGCATTGCCAAGTCACCATGTTTTAATAATTTTTGGTTCTGGGTTCAAATTTGTCTTGTCGGTCGTGTGAAAACATTCAAGGGACTATTTGTGAATCAAAGATAAAAGATGCCTGTATACTTAAATAACTTTTAATGGTTTGAAACGCCAAATATATATTTTATATAATTGACTGATTTAGATTTTTTTTTGGGGGGGGGGGGGGGGGGGGGGGGGGGGGGGGGGTGGGGGGGGAAAAAAAAAAGGGGGGGATAAGGTAAAATAAATTTTTTGGGGGTTAAAAAAAGGGGGGGGGGGGGGGGGGGGTGGGGGGGGGGGTTTTTGGTTGTAAAAAAAAAAAAGGGCAAAAAATAAACAAAAAATTTTCGTGTTATTAAAGTTACAAGCGCGTAAATTAAATATATAGTACTATTGTTACTTTGTTTTCAATATAATTTTAATTACGGCCCGACGCCGTAAAACGATAGAAGTGTTTTATTTCAATATATAAGCTAGCTTAAACCAAAATAGTTTAAATTGTTGTATTCTGCGATTGGTACTTGTTACTATCTTACCCATAAGATTAGCATCACTGCAACAGCTAGTCGAGACTCTTCACCGACTTTCAAAATGACAGATTCTGTAAGCTTTCCTATCCACGCAATGAGGCCCAATTTTGAGAGAACCTGTAGAATAGAATGTCATTATTGTTTGACGGAGTCGTTGGTCTAATGGTAGCAATCAGCCGGGTCTAATTCAATCTATACTCATATTATAAAGCTGAAGAGTTTGTACGTTTGAACGCGCTAATCACAGGAACTAAAGTTCGAATTGAAAAAAACCTTTTTGTGTTGTTTAGAGCAGTTATCGAGGAAGTCTTTAGGCTATTAAACATCGCACTGCAACCAATTGGAGTTATAGAGATGGACATATACTGGTGCGGACATTCGCTAGTATTTAAAGAGGAATAATTCTTTTGTACGTAGCTTTTGGGTATCTCGAACCGTTGTCGCACGCAACGGAAACCCTCAAAGGTGAATAATTTTCCCGTCTTTTCCACATTTCCCAGTGTTTCTTCGCTCCTATTGATTGTACCCTGATGTTTTAAAGCCGACCTTCGTCGATAAATGGTTGGAAACTAACTTAAAATAATTTTGAAATTTGAACCACAATTTCCTGAGATTAGTACGTTCAAACAAACAAATTCACTTTTTAAATTTTAGTATAGATTTATACTAATGGCGGAAGAGATTTTCGGTGCTTGACTTGTATAGATTTTAATAACGGTTTAAAACGCGATATCTATTAGTTAAACTTATTTAAAATTATCTGAACTACCGCCCGACGTACGGATGCTTTGGAGCAGCCGTGGTCACGGGGAGACTATACACCTAGTCTCGCGGGGTTTAGGTTTTTTTTTTAAATTTGTTCTACTCGCGTAAGCTACAGACAGTATTAAATAATTGTAAAGACGAAAAATAACAGCAATCTTGTTAATAACTCACCTCCATCAATACAAACAATGCAGCAAAGAAGAGAAGAGTAGACCATTCGACTCTAGCCAGAATTGGTTCTAAGTCTTCTCGTTCTGCTAGAAGGAGAAGCAGAATAGCTCCCAATAGCGCAGTCCAGCCCAGTGATAGGTTTTCTGAAGAAAAATATACACTTTACGTTTTGAAGAAGACATTCGCTTTACACAATGAATGTTAAATAAAGACAATAACTTTAAAATTTAATAACTTTCAAATAAAACATTTTAACGGTTTTAAACCTGAAATGTATTAGTTAACCCTATATCTAATTGGTAAATATTTAACCCTTTGACTAACGAAATGTATTAGTCAAACATATTATGTATATAAGAGAGATATATGTATAGTGTTTAAAATGTTCCCATGGCGTGCGCTGGCATAGCTTCGAATCCCGGGAAAAATGTAAATATCGGTCAGGTTAGCTTTGCTGTGCCATGCCTAACGTAGAACATATAAAAGTCCTATATACTTACGTAATTGTGGTATTGCGTGGAGGAAGAATACAGCTACCACAAAAGCCACGCATATGGAAGCTTTTATTAAGAGCGGCTTGTCTCGGATTCGATACTGGGTAAGAATAAATCAAAATGAGCTAATGATAAACTAAAAATTAACTCAAAAGAAGGTATTATAGGAGTGGTTAATAAAAAAATTATTAAACTTAAAAAAATAATATACTAAAAACAGAATCTCTGATGGTTTCTTGAGTGAGATACTACGATAGGAGTACTAGAGGGGATTTATCAATTAATCCATTGAACTAACCTTTTGTTTCATCTGCGCAAGAGTGGAACAAAACAGAGGGTCGTTTTTAGGCTTTCCAGTGCCGGCTTCTTTCTTCATTAGTAATGTACTCAACCTTTGTACCTACAGATAGAACACGTTATATATGTTTAAATAAAACACTTTAACGGTTTTAAACGCGATATATTAGTTAAACTTATTTGAAAAATATTTTTATCTTCGGCCCGACGCGGACGTTTCGAATGCTTTGCAGCAGCCGTGGTCACAGGGAGATTTTAAACCCGTTAAAAGTGCTTTATTTCAATGTGTACTACTCGCGTAAACTATACACGTTATATATGCTTTTAAATACAATACTTTTAACAGTATAAAAGGTGAAATTGATAATTTAATTTACCTATAGCCCGACACCCTCTGTAGAGCGTGAAGTATCAGGTCGTAGTTTAATTAAATAAAAAATATATATGAAGAATTTTCTTCTTCAGCCCCCCCCCGTGACAACGTCTGCTGCAAATTCCTATTCGTATTATTTTATATTAAATGTGTTTACTAATATATTTTATGTTTCAAACCGTTAAAAGTCTTTATTTATATGAGCTTTACTGCAGACAACTTATACATATAGATTAACAATAGAAAATAAATTAGACTCGGGCAGGACTTGAACCGGCATCATCAGCGTTTTTTGTTGTTGCTGTTTGCTTATATCGATAAGTGAGAAAAGGGGGTCTCTCTCCACAAGAACACAACAACAACAACGAGCACATAATGTGCAGAACTTGTAGAAAATAATAAAGTTTGTAAATGTCCCTTTTCAGGGGTTCTTTTCATGCTAAAAATAAAATGTAAACCATTTTATTTGTATGTCATTGTAGTTTAATATTGTGTACCTTTTTCTCTAGAGCTCTTTTGACTAGATCCTCGTCCCTTGAGTAGGAAGTCAGTGAGGCTGCAGCACGTTTCCACACAGCAATTGCTTGGCGTAACTCTGGAAGTGTCAATAAATATGTTATCATATGGCAAACACAATGTACCACTGAAAAACAGAGCAGCAAATAGCAGCAGAAAGCAGCGAGGATAGTCCGTCTCTATAAGATAAAAAATAATGTGCCTTATATCTTCTGTATCTGGGGATTCGAGCCCACGACCCGTTGACTTGACATTAGACTAACGAGGCCGTCGACATTGAAAATGTCGAGAAGTAGTTAAAATAAATTATACATTTTAGCGTTTGAAACGGTTAAAAAAGTTTTATTTCAATGAGATTCTTGTAAACTACAAACAATACTTGTATTTTAATAAATTGATGAAGTTTTATATTTCTGTCTTATATATAAAAAAGCATTGGGTCACTTTTTATCTATGGCAACTGCTGCTGCTGTGCTGCTGTTAAATGCTGTTTAAATCTGAGTAAGTAAAGAGATGATAAAAGCAAGATTATCTTACCAACAATACCTCTTGGCACAGAATGCCTCAGCGTATTTATGTCTCTGAAGATGTAGCGGAGTTGGAAATAGGTCTGGACGCTCACCAGAAGAATGCCCAGACCCATGTGGAGAGTAAAGTTGGTGAAGTTTATGTTCTGGGAAAGACAACAATTAACACACCTTAATACATAAGTGTTAAAGTGGAAATCACAGGTGGTAAAAATTCGACAATGACGTGTAGGACTCGGTAGCTCAATTGGTAAGAGCAACAGCACGGAGCACTGTTGATGCCGGTTCAAAACCTGTCCGTGCCGTTTTTTAAACCCATAATCGACCTTTAAAACCAGATGTGGTGACGACAGATTGAGTAAATATTACTATAGATCATATCTTAAGTAGTTTTAACACATATTAAATAAAAAACCTTTAAAGGTTTAAAACTCGAAATATATTAGTTTGTTTAGTTTAACTTCAGCCTGTTGTTCGTTCGTATGCTACAGCAGTCGTTGTCACGGTGGGTCAGTATGATTTCGCGTTTTAAACCGTTAAATTGTTTATTTAAATGAGTATAGCACGCGAAAACTACAAACTACAATTACCGTTTAATTCTTATTTATTTGTCGCCACATTAACTGATTATACTGTCCTACAGACACTAATACCGTCCACAGACAAAAAGAGTCAATTAATAAAGAAATAATTTTAATGTTAAAATAAAACATTGTAACGGTTTAAAACGCGATATTATAATTACCTGTGTGCCGTGGTCACGGTGAGACACCTCGTAACCACGACGGCTGCAAAGCATCCGAAACGTCGATCCTTAGTTAATTTTCAAACAAGTTTAACCAACATATATCGCGTTTCAAGCCGTTAAAGTGTTTTATTTAAATATGTACTACTCGCGTAAACTACAGGCAGTATTTAATTTTCCTGTTTATTGCTTGTGCAAGAGGTTGGTAAAATAAAAATGGCGTCTCTACTTACAGCAGCTAAAATCGATGGGTGGCTAGCTATAATAACATTCGGCGGATCCCCAACTGGTGTAGCTGCTCCCCCCACATTGCTAAATATCACCATGGACATCAGAACTGGTACTGGGTTTAGCTGCATCACTTCGCATAATCTAAAAACCAATTGCTTTATTTAAAAATTTAATACTTTTCTGATGGCAGTATATAAATTAAAAATGTAAGACACGGGCAGGACTTCCACAGCGTACCATGCTGTTGCTCTAACTAATTCTCCATCTTCTTCATCTCTGTAGGTTTCCGATGCATACCAAAAATGATCTAAAACAATGCTCGTCACGACAGTATATGTCTATCTTAGATGAAGACGGGGCTTTGCATAATTATTATACGCAGACGAATTCGATGACACAGCTAGTATATAGGTCCAATATAGATAAGAGTAAAAGATTACCGTATAGTAACAGGTGTCATAAGTAGAACTGTTGTGACGTTGTCAAGGAACGTGGAGAAGAACGCCGTGAAGAAGCAGAGGCAGTTGATGAGAGGCCAGGTTCGACCTCCTGTGACCTGGAATCAGAAAAATATGATATTGGCTAGGGTAATTCATCAATGAATTATCTTCGCTAAATGCAAGAACAAATACTAAAGGACACATAATGGTAAAAATTATTCCTTTGTATTATATAGTAATATCAATTATTTAAACTTTAATGTAACGTTTTAAGAGACACAAAAAGAATGGGTATATTTTTATATTATTTATACAGGATGTCCCGAAAGACTTCTAAATTTTTTATTAAAATGTGGTTTTGAGCATATTAGTAACATTTCAGTAAAATCGGACGAATAGTGCAGACACAAGAATTACTTTTCGAATATAAAAGACGTATCTGAGTAAGTCAGTAACTACAGTCTTGAAGAATCTCTATACAATAATATACAATAATTGTCAAATAAGTTTAACTAATAACTTTGGCTTTCGAGTGGTTTTTTATGTAGTTTTATTACAATGAAACAAATGCACAGGTATATTCTATTGCTTGCCTTTTCATAAGCGAACAGCCATAAATCTTTTATAAGACATAGGAGCATAGGGTTCCCTTGATGGAAGGTGGAATACCCCAGCCCAGAACGATACATTTGCCTATCCACATCAAACAAAAAAGAAACTAAAGATTACCTCAAAAGCAACTACAGCCAAATAATCAAACAACCCTGTCTCCGCAAGAATAGCGACCAGGATCATCATACTGAACAGCAGCAGAAGAGTTTCCACGTCAAGCCAGGAGACCAGCTCCATGAGTGAGGGTCTGGTGCCATGAAAGGCAAGCGTTGCTATGCCCATGGTGGATGAAAGGAGTGCTGCTATTGTTCTGTTAACAACCTGTAACAAGATAATGTTGTTGGTCTCAATCTGGAGATGTCAAATACACATAGAAATTATGTACTAGCTTTGTCAGCGGCTTCGTCTACGTTGGATAGTTATGTTGGGCATAATGCTTTGCAGATAACCTCCTCAGCTTTATAAATTATAGCTGTTATCCACGATGGTGTCTGAGTCCAGTTATTCTTGCGAGTTAATCTTAAAATATAGAAACATAGTGTCGCAGGCATTTTTTAAGATCATTCTGTTACACATAATTTTGGTTTTATGGTGTCTTGAACCGTTTTCGCAGCGCCCGCATCGAAAACCCCAAAAGATAAATAACTTTTCCGACATTTTCTGGTGTTTCCCACAGCACAATGTCTTGTAACCTTTCCCGATAAATGTTCTATCGAACACAAAAATAATTTTTCTACTTGAATCACTACTACCTGAGATTACCGCGTTCAAACAAACTCTTATGCTTCTTTAAGCACATTCCTCTTATATTACGTTGTTACTTACCTCAAATATAATTAAAAAATACAGCAGACACAATAAAAAGGCTGCAAATATAATGCCATGCTCTTCTGACAGCGGGTGTAGCTGGTAAGTTAGAGTGAGAGGTACCGTTTTGTTGCTATTCGTTGACATCCGTAGAGTGACGGCATCTGAAACTGTGAAAAATATATATTTCAGCAGGGGCATAGATATATGCAGAAAAAAACTTTGACACATGTAGGATTCAAGCCTGCGAGAGACGATGTATTTTACCCTTGGTATTATGGTAGCAATACATAGCTAAGAACCAGGTCGTGGATTCATTTTTTTTATAGAGGACGATAGACGAGCATAGGCTTTGATGGTAGATGAAATAGCCCAGCATATAACGTTTCACAAGATGCGTTATCGACCTATTTATCTTTGGATACTTGGACCAAGGATTGAAGCCGAAAGGCGATTTTCTCGGCTTTTGCTTTGTGAACATGGTGGAATTTATATTCCTACCAGCCATTTTAGATCCAGTACCCACCTGGTACCCACGTATTTAAACATAATTTTCTATTTTTTCAGAAAAAAGCCGTAAAGTTAAATCAGGTTTCAGTATCAGTCATTTCTAGTCTAAAGCCGAAAGTTATTTCATTTTGCTGTTGCTGCAAGTAACGCTTAATCACGTAATTAAGTCTTATTTTATACTAGCTGTGCCCGCGACTTCGTTCGCGTGGAATAGTGACTTGAGGTAGAATTTTTAATTCTTTAGGCTGTTTATTAATTTATGTAATTGCGCATATATCGCAGCCAATCTATGTTGTAAGTGCTACTTTGCCGCAACACTCTCACCTCACATCAATCCTACTCTAACTCCCACTCCCACTTCCACTTCCATTTCCACTCCCACTCCCATACCTATTCCCAAAAAGCCAAAGAAGAAAGTTTTATTGTTCTATCTTTAAAAACCACGAATTTCCATAAAAATTTTCACCCCCCCTTTTTAACCCCTTACAACCGCCTTCTCGCAATAAAGCCTATGTTCTTTTTCAGGGTCTAGACCATCTGTGTACTAAATTTCATTCAAATCCGTTCAGTAGTTTTGGCGTGAAAGAGTAACAGACAGACAGAGATACTTTCGCATTTATAATATTTGTAGGGATTAAAAAAAATATACCGTTTTCTTAGAGAAGTACTATATTACAATTCCCGCTGCTGTAATTTTTCCTTTCGAACTTACATCCTTGTAAGTGTGAATCAAAAATTTAGTTGTTATTTACCATTTCCGAAGTTTTGGATAAAATCATCTTGCGTGTGATTCGTAGGCACTTTTCTCTGTTTTTTCGGTTGCAGCATGAGTATTTTAGATTCAGAGGCACTTGGGGCAAAATCAATGACATCATCTGGCTGCAGATGTATATTCCATTTGGGGGAGTCCTGCAATAAGTATAATGAATTTAACTAATATATTTCCCGTTTAAAACAGTAGAAAAAAAGGTTTTTTAATAGTATGTTAATTCAAACACCCACATATTTGTTTTTAAATGTTCAATTAATCTCAATTTAAAAAAAAATTGTAATTACACTACAAATCTATACATATATAATATAGAGATGAAGAGTTTGTTTGTTTGAACGCGCTAATCTCAGGAACTACGCGTTCGAAAGGGGGATTGAAAATTTTCTTTTTCTGTCGGTTAGAGTATTTATCGAGAAAGGTTATAGGCTGTTAAACATCACGCTGTGACTAATAGGAGCAAAGGAACAGCGGAAAATGTGGAAAAAACGAGGAAAATTATTCTTCTTTATGGGTTGCCAAAGCGTACGCTGCGAAAACGGTGCAAGATACCCGATAAATATGTTTAAAATAATTATTTTTCTTTAAATGATTTAAAAAAAATCTGCGACGCTATATGTCTATATTTTTTAATTAAGTTGTAAGAACGACAGGAAGGGACGCCATCGACGTCATGGCTAACACACTTAATATTTTGTTTATAAAGATGACGGCGTTTGTAAAAAATTTGGGCGCCGAAAATATCGAATCTCGCGGACGATGTTAGTATAAAATAAAAATAATTATTTATATATGACGCGTTGAAAACAGTTGTAAATGGTTTTTTGAATTATTGTATATGCTTTCATACACCCGTATACTTGTTTTTAAATGTTCAACTAATCTCTATTTTAATAAGAAATTGCAATGATAATTGTAAAGGCGAACAAGAAAACTACAATTACATTACTTAATAATAAAAATTATTTTGCTACTGTTTTAAGTAGTCTGTGTTTTTAATCATTATTTAAGTATCGTAGATTCATTACTACGTTTCTCATTAAAATGAACATAATGCTACAACTATAAAAAATATAATGCCAACATGTGAATTTTGAAGGACGTTAAACAATGCTATCATAAACAATAAAAATAAAATGACACCATTGTTTGTATGGAATTATAGATATATATATGATTTACCCCAGATATAGTTTATGGCATGCTCCATTTTATACTATAACTAGCTGTGCTTGCGACTTTGTCCGCGTAGAATAGTTACTTTGGGCATCAAAATTTGTTTTTGCAAACCTCCTCATTTTTATAGCTCATGGCGATGTTTGCAAGTTATCTTAAAGGATAGACATATATTATCGCAGACATTTTTTGATATTTTGAAGAAAAAGCCGCAGAGGAAGGCTATTATAGCCGAAAAATTTTTCAATTCGAACCAGTAGTTCCTGAGATAAGCGCGTTCAAACATACTCGAGTAATATCGAGGCCTATAGAAGCGAAAACTTGGGAAATTTGGAAAAAAAGCCTGTAAAAATGTACCTTTATAACAATGATTCCTTTTTGAATAATCTAAAATGTGTTCGACAGTATATATGTCTATCTTTCAAGATTTACTCTCAAGAACGGCGAAGCGCGGTCGACGTCCCGTGTAACAACTATATAATCGAAAATAACTATTCTATGTGGACAAAGTTGCAGGAGCAGCTAAAGAGTATAGATAACAAAGCATCCCATTGTACTGACTATTCGTAGAAGAAACATGAACTAATTTAGTGACTCATTGTGTGCGCTTACGCAGGTCGTATATCACACCTCTGACTTAGCCCGTAAATTGTAATACATATTACAGGGGAGGAGACAAGTATGGTATAATAATGTAAAGCGAATGTTTTTTAGGTTACTTAATAAATTAAAAATCTATTTTAGATTGAAAAAAATTAAGACACGGGCGGGACTTGAACAGGCCTCCACAGCGTGCCGTGCTGTTGCTATAACCAATTTAGCTACCGTGTCCTATACGTTTTCAATCTACTTATAATCGATTTTTGACATGTGAAAAATAGTAAAGTTTTCAAATACGGATTACTTGGTTACGTAAAAATTGCTAAACCGATTTTGAAGAGATATAATATATTATACACAAGGTATACGGTCTATTTACATACCTATATTTGTATGTGTGTCACATTGTCGTTACGATGTAAACTAATTAAACTTTGTTTAACGTTTTTATTTTTATATTTATACCCTATTCCCATTTAAAAGTAAAACGAGACAAATACTTATGTAACTGTTAATTACAATCTATTTAAATAACGTCATTTGATCTGTTTTTTCCGTTACAGTCGGGCGTTACGGATCATTAACTATGTAGTTAAATAGACAAGCTATTAGACATAGGTGTACCTACTTGACTTTGTTTTAGATGGTATACAAAATGGCCGCCATCTTGAATTAACAAAATAAGTAGTGTCTGTAGATTACGCGAGTAGTACACCCAAAATAAAACCCTTTAACGGTTTAAAACGCAATATTGATTAGTTAAACTTATTCGGAACAATTTTTTAACTACGGCCCGACGTTTCGGATGCTTTGCTGCAGCCGGGACACGCGGAAACCCTAATCGTCGGGGTAGTTAAAACAATATTCAAATAACTTTAACTTATAGATATCACGTTTTAAACCGTTTAAGTGTTTATTTAAAAAAATACCTACTTTTTATGATAGAGGGTAATAGACACAATTCCCTGATGGAAGGTGGAATACCCCAGGCATATAACATCTTTTATTTTTTAATATCTAAACAGATATAATAGAATTATTTATGCGGTCTTAGTTCTATAATAGGAATATCTTCCAGGCAACACAAGGTATGTTGTACTATGTTATGTAAATCAAACAGCTTATAATTACGTCTAGTAATTCGTAAACTGTTTGTCCATTTTGGATAAACAACGATGTAAACGGACGGACAAATATTATTGTTTATGCAGGCATGTTGACGCCACATGAGGCCCACATGGTGCAAAATTTTTATTGTTTTCACATTTTGCATTAACAACTATGATAGATTAAAATCCGTGTGTAAAAAAAGTGTGTATGTTTTTGTCTACATATCAACATTATTTTGGCTATCAAAATTAGCTTTTGCAAACCTCTTGTTCAAATCTATAAGTTTAAGCTGTTCCCCACGACGTCGTCCGCGTCCCGCCCTTCTTGCTTGTTTATCTTCAAAGATAAACATTTATTTATTTTTATTTAATTTCATTATAAACATATTCTACCATTACAGAAAAATTCCATTGCGATAGACTTATTATATACATATTTCATAGAGTGATGTTTTTGTCAATTCACCCAAGCTGCACGTAAAAATGTCGATCCCCTCCTGCAGCTCATTGAAAACACGCATAGCACGGGAAAGAGGGGATTTTATCAGCAAGTTGGTACGTGACTACGGCAGCGCAAGTAACGGTGGTCGTAATCGCCTCCACACGTGTCGGTCCGGCACTGACAAGTGTAAGGACTGTAGAACTCCTGGGTTCAACTCTCGACCCCGCAACATATAGTGTCGCGGACATTTTTTAGATAATTTGAAGAGGTATCTTTCTTTCATACATATTTTTTTATCTTCAACCGTTTTCGCAGCGTACGCATCGAAAACCCAAAAACACTAATAATTTTCCCCGTGTTTCCACATTTCCCACTGTTTCTTCGCTCTTATTAGTCGCAGTCTGATGTTTAGTAGCCTATAACCTTCCTCGATAATTGCTCTGACCAACACAAAAAGATTTTTCAATTCCAAACGAGTATTTTCTGAGATTGGCGCGTTCAAACAAACAAACTCTTCAGCTTTATATATTAGTATAGATAGATCATACCTGTCCAAACTCATCGAATTCACCAAAGCTCCTGTGCAGCCAAATAGACAGTTGTTTAGACTCATTAGTCTGGCCTCCGAACGGTCCAGTTAGGGAAATTAGGGCGGTGAATGTATCGTTTGACGTGTTGAGTATGTATTCTGAAAAAAAAATACGAAGTGAATTTTCGTGGTGTCTGGCAGAAGAACTTAACGATTGCGCAGTTTTAATTTTTTGGTTAGAAATTGCTTCAATCAAAAGTACCATTTATGTATTCAAATACAAAAATGTATTATGCTTTCTTACAAACATGACAATTTATAGTGTTTACACTCCCGTTTTACGATGTATTACAGAGCTATGGAGCGAGTATAAGATGCTTTCACCTATTCACAAAACATAACGCAACGCAGTTAATCAACAAGTATTTTTATATAAAACACTTTAATGGTTTAAAACGCGATATATATCCTTAGCAGCAGCAGTGGTTACAGCTGCTGCAAAGCATTCGAAACGTCGGACCATAGTTTAAATAATTTTCAAATAAGTGTAATATACATCATGTTTTAAACCGTTAAAGTGTTTTATTAGTATATGTACTACTCGGGTCGACTACAGACAATATTTAAGTAATTTCTTTTAATTCCCCGCTGTTCACAGCTGTGTGTAATACTACATCAGTCTTTTCTCTATTCATCAGGAGAGCCACGGTCAGCGCCAACCAGAAGCCAACTAATGTAGCTACCTTTATTATACGCCGGACGTTGTCTAGCTATAGGGGAAAATTATTACATTATTTCTTACTTTCATTGCTTCTTATATGGGGCATGGGACGGACATGCTTCTGTACCCGTTTCACGTATTCATTATATAGAAAGCAAGAAGTGTTCTATCGTCTATGCCAGGATCATTATAATATTGAAACGGTATTTGTTATCATATTTATGTTAGTTTCAAACCGTTAAAATGCATTATTTTATATGTCTCAATAAATAATAAGTATTTAGTTTTTTTATGTTGACGAGTAAAATACCTTCTTCTTCCTCTTCGATTTAAGTTTCTTTTCTTCTGCTGTAGCTGGCTGGATTTCGAGTACTCTGTAAATAATTGTATTCTTATTTTAATATTCAAGTAACGAATACTAACCGCTTATGTATAATGTTCCAATTTCAAAATGGATTAAAAAAAACGAAATCATTGTTGCCTTTTATTTTCAGTTACATTGTTATTAGTATGTAACAATATATTTTCAAATCAATTTTTTATATCTAAAACAAAACTTTAAAAACATGAAAGACTATAAAAAAAAAAAAAAAAAAAAAAAAAACCCCCCGGGGCTGCTAACCAATTTTATATGTATATTCTATTATTGTATTACCTGCTCCCATTCTTGTTGCTTTCATGTTTGTCGTCATGGATACGTGCTTCTGAAAATTTTCTTCCAAAAATGTTTCCATTCTCTTCCGACGACACAATTTCTGGAGATTGTATTGGTTTACCTGGAAATTAAAATTTTGAAATCACGCAATTTTTGGAATATTGTAAAAAAAAAAGTAGAATTATAGCTAAAAATAGAATTTAGATGAAAAACGGAATTTGCCTTTTCTTTAAATGGGGCACATTTTTATTTTTTTATGTGGTTTTTTTCAAATGTAAGTAAATGTATGCATTAATTTAATAAATGTTTAAAAACCAGTTTGCTTTTTATAGTGTATAGAGGCTGCTAGAGCTAAGTTTAATTTAATTACTTGAGTTATTTATATTTTTATAGTCTAAAATGATAAAACTACACAGTGTAAAATTCATTTTCGCCTAAGTTAATTGCGCTTTTTTATTTCCTCCTTATTGAAAATTATGTTTTTGTTATTAGGTCACTCTGTCTCTAGCAAATGTTAAAGACTCACCATTTCTCTGTTCATAAAGCTGCTTGAAGGGTGCAAGAGCTGGATCATATTTGATGGAATCAGGAAGATCCAGCCACACCTCCAGGCTTCCTGGTGTCAGGTCACTACATGATACCATAGAGTAAAGGCTATGAACACTTTTGTTCTTCTTTATTTTCTTTAGGAAGGACATTTTTGATCACATTTTTTGCACTACTAATGTTTTAAATAGAACGATTAAGACACTAACACTTATACGATTGTTACACTGTGAAATAATTTTAATTATCATGTACAGAATTTTCAAGTTTCAGATGGGCATGGAGTTTGACCAAACAAAAAAAATAAATACGGTCTTCAATCTCTGTCTTGTTTTGTCTTCTAACTCAGTAACAAAATGTTACACTCTTAACAAAATATCGGTAGCTCAATTGGTTTTAGCAATACGGAACGCTGTGGATGCTCGTTCAAACGCGTCCGAGTCGATTTTTTTCAATTTAAATAGATTTTTAACTTATATTCAATATATTTCCACTACGAACCGTTTTAAACCGTTAAAAGTGTAATAAATATATTGAGATCCATGTATTTAGATAAAAAAAAACAACTAAATATAAAGCACGACCTATTTCTAGCGATAACTTAAAAACACTGTCCTCTAAGGCAAGATTATTAGAAGTGATAAAAATTTGCATAGTGTAGTTTGTTATGTGCATTAGCTAATATCCGCATGTTTCTCTTATCAAAAATCCACTCCTTGGTACTCATATTATTCGTCGAAGTTCCGTCGGTAATAAAATTTTCTTCCCCCTTTGGGGCATGGGCCGAACATATTTGTATGTCCGTTTCACTGACCGATTCTTTAGCTAAATAGATCTGACCGACAAAACTTGTCTTATTACAATGCTCTAGGTAACGACACGGCAGCAACATAAAAATGTTATTAAGTAGGAAGTTATAATTTTTTAATAAAACACTTTTAACGGTTTCCAACGCGAAATATCTTTGTTAAATTAATTTTAATCAAATCTAAATACTGTTCGACGTTTCGGATGCTTTGCGGTAGTCATGGTCACGGGAGGATTAAAGAAGAAGAGTGTCTTTAATGTTCAAGTAAAATTTGCTACGCTAGCGCCATCTGTTTCGTCGTAGTTTGTATTTGAATAAACTATTCATTCTGTTGTTATGACTCTCAAAATTCCTTATAAAAGTAAGTTAACTTATATATCAGGCGTTTAAAAACGTTAAAAGTGTTTTAGATGTGTACTACTCTCAAAAACTGCAGATAAAACTAAATTATTGATTAAATAAAACACTTGACCGGTTTAAAACGCGATATATTAGTTCAACAGTTTAACATTACTAACTGGTCACTTAAGTTTTTCTTGACCAGTGAATATTACCTATTACGGAACTGTAAAATCCAACGAGCTAAGGGAAGTGTTTATTTTTTATTTACAAACTGTTTATCAACTGACCAACTGACAGCTAGACGTAGAATGTCCTACACCATAGATAAGGTAAATAGTTTGTGTAAGATAAGGAGCGGACATATTTATGTGTAGGTTGAGTGGTATACCGTATAACGCCCAATTTAAGTCTTAAGTCACTTGATGGGAGAAAAAAAATCTGAGACAGAATATGTATTCTTGATGTAATGCAAGAATAACAGGACGCGGAGGACCCCTTAGGCCCTCCCTGCCTCCATCCTCATCTTTGCAGCTAAAAGATATGAAGATGACGTTTGCTAAAATAAATTTTAGTGCCAAAAATAACGGTTCTACGCGGACAAAGTCGCTGGTACAGCTAGTATTATAGACACGTAATCTTACATTTAGAAAAACTTATTAATGTAATTTATATTTTTGTGACATGTACTGTGTCACGTTATCATGTACAAATATTTTCATGTCCTATGTTGTTGTTTTTATCTGGGACCGACACACGCTTGACCTATAAAAATACGATAATTAAAAACACAAAACTCGATTGAATATCTTAATTGAATTAAATCCTTACGTCGAAATTTTGCACGGATTCACATAAAATCCAAGATGGCGTCTGTAAGTTTCCATTGACGTAACCGCCTCGAACCGGACTGAGGCAGTTATAACCGATTTACGAGGTCAACGACCCCGCAGTAAGTAGAAAGTGTGCGATTGTTGCAACTTGGAAGTGTTTTATTTAAATATTTAGATGCTATAAGTGTAAAACCGCACTTTTAATCATTATTCTCAATATTAAGTCTAACTTAATATTTGTTTTAAGGCAGTATTTTCAAGAACTACAGGTGGGAGTGGAGTTTTTTAAGTTTACACTAATTATGACTAAGGAATAGCTAAATAATTTGCCGGCCAAATATTGGTGGGTAGCTAACTTAGAACCACGAGACAGACATAGGGTATTTCCCCTTCGCACTTGTTCCCGAGTAATGTGACATAAGACGTCAAAGATACTACTCATTACAAGACTAGATAAAACAAAAACACTTCTAACAGGGAACGGTGATAAAGAGGGGGAAGGGGGGGGGGGGGATTATTCCTCCCTTGCGTGTGCTGCGCAAACGTGTTCAGAAACCAGAATATCAAATAATGATTTCTTTTTAAATGATTTAAAAAATGTCTGCGACAATAAATATCTTTTAAGAGTTACTCGCATGAACCGTTTTTTGGTAATCAAATTTTGTCGGCCTTTATGCATTACCTATTTGTTAGAGTTGTATCAAAATAATAATATTAATCTTCTAAACGACAAAACAACGTCTGCCGGATCGGGTAGCTCACCAGCTTGAATAGCTAGTTAGCTGAAGATTACAGATTTGTGTGTAACTCAATACCAAATGTACCCTTAACTTGGAAGGTCACTGGGTGAACGTCTATTACAAAAGAAAGAATTCCATAGACAGATCTAATATAATAATACTTTGTAGAAGGCTGTTGTTTTATTATGATAAAAAAAAAGTTATATTTTGTTTTATCGGGAAGATGGTTGAAATAAATTCACTAATATATTTCGGGTTTTAAACCGTTAAATATTACTATTTAAAAGTGACTACTCGCATGAACTACTCGACAAGACTGTAAAAAAATACCTATATATGTTCAATTAACTGATTTAAACAAGTAAGAAAAACATAAAGTAATTTCGCATTAAAATTAGCGCAGATCAATATGTAAACTTCAATATTGGTTATAAAATATTTGAACAGTCTTCGCCGTGGAAAAATAATTATCACTAAATTTGATAGCTATGTACTCACTTCGAATAAAATCGTCTTGTTACCTAAGACAGACTATAAGAAAAATATTTAAATAAACCGTGAATACTGTATTCGGTGCCAAGTAGAAACATTTACTAACGTCAGAGACACCCTCCATCTTTAGTCTCTCCGTGACCACGGCTGCTTCAAAGCATCCGAAACATCGGGCCGAAATTAAAATAAGTTTAACTAATATATATCGCGTTTTAAACCGTTTAAAGTGTTTTATTTAAATGTGTACTACTCGCGTAAACTATACACTTAATTTATGGACAGGTTATAAGTTTTTATTATTATTGACGATTAGTTCACCTGACGAACGCAATCAGTTCACTGTCAATGGACAATAAGCATTTACTTTTTTATCGAGTCCTACGTACGTTTAAATTAATTACATGTGTAATAACAATGAAGTTTAGCGGAATATTTTATTTTGAACAGGGCCGGATTTGGAATCTAGAAACGACAATGCTATAGGGCCGGATTGTACATTTTCCTACAAGAGGCCTACTAGAACTGTTTCATATAATTTTTAAGATGAGTTATATAGTTTACATAGTAGTAACTATTGGAAGGAAAACACATTGTATAGTTTCTTGGAAGGGAATGAGCGGACTCGTATAGTAAACGTAGTAAAATAAACATATAGTCTATTTTATATATATCGCTTAAGTTATTATTAAATGTTTTACTCTATGTTCTTTTATAATAAAAATAAATTACTCGAGTATTTCAAGTTTTAAATCGATAGAGCCACGCTACACTTTTGAGTGTGGGTTTGAGTCCCGCCGGTTTTATCCGTTAGAAAGAAAGAAAGAAAAAAAAAAATTTTATTTATCTAGGGCACATAAAACATGTTACACTTATTACTAAACATAAAAAAAACAAAACATAATTTTGTTTATCGTTACAATATTCATTATATAATACGTTAGATATTGGAATGCGGCAAAAAATATTATTTATATTAATTACGGCATTTTCCTTTATACACGAGGAAAAATACATCACTGTTCGCTTGTCTTAACTGTACTTATTCGGCCTTATGAATCACTTTGAGTATTTCCGTATTATGTTGAATCTATTGAAGGGACATTTATCGTTGTAGATACAATACATACACACAAACATATTATACTATGCTATAAGTATCAAGCAAATCTAGCATTGTGTTAAATACGAGAGAACTGGGTTTGAGTTCTGGAAAAAAAAAAAAAAAATGTTTAGCAAGGAACAGAAACCTGGTGCTCCGAAAAGAATGTATGCCAACCCCGGATCATGAGGTAATGGCGGCAAGTTGTTTTTTTGTGGGTCTTTATACCATCACTGTCTCTCTAATTTAGTGAGGGTCACAAAGATGTGTAACACAGGCATGTAAAGGTAAACAAACAAGGGTACAAAAAAAATGTTTTGGCAAATTATAATTTGTATATTCCATATTTACCCTTTTCTAAATTTAAAATGTTTCAGCGAATAAAAACAAATGTATACGTCCAGTAGGTAACATCGTAAAACACTTGTGCAACGCTATACAAGATATTAATAGCTAATTATGACACATGTACCTTTTTATTGCACCATATTAATATAAGGCCGTTTTGGTTCGTTGAATTGTTATGTTCAGAAATATTGACCTCCCCGTTATGTGAAGAACATATGGACTTCCAAGTCCCGAAGTTCTTCACATAGCATACCTACTCCAGTAAAGAAGGGTTGTAAACATTGGTCGAGGGTATCTTATAATATCAAATTTCAATACACTCCCTTTACGTAGCAAGTATGTTAAATACATACACATTATTAAAAAAAAACGACAAACAACGACAACAAATGCCTGACTTCAATTTTTCAGCCTACTTCTAAAGTAGCCTGTCAGGCCTTAGTTAAATTAAATTGAAAATATGTTAACTAATATAATTCTCGTTTTAAACTGT